GATTATTTGAATCTGACATAAGCTGAGACCAGATGCAACAAGGAGAACAAACCCAGACTAGTGCCTTGCTAAATTATTTTTAATTGCTTCAGCTTGTCCTATTACATTGTTCTTAACTAGGCTAATGATTGTGCTTCTGCCCAGAATTCCCTATCATTTCTCCTTAGTACTGAGGGATGCAAGAGTTGATTTTTGCCACATTTCTGTGTGAAATGATACTGAAAAATATTTAAGTACAAAAGATAAAGTTCTCTTCCATAGTCTTCTCATTTGGCTTCTCAGTTGGCTCTCCCAAAGTAAGTTTTTTTTTTTTTTCTTTCCACTCTGAGTTAGGTTTTTGCCCATTTGAAGAGATTTAAGGTTGGGTTTTGCAGTAGTGAAAGACAGTAGACCATCTTGAATAATTTCTTACAGGTAGCATAGGTATGTGTATATAATGTATCTGCCTTTCAGTCTACAGATCCTTACTAATTACTCTGAATTAGTGACCAAATCTGATTTAAACATCGTTTACAGGTATGTCAACATGTACTTTCACTTGAATCAACTATATTTTGCTGCTAATATGTGCAGTATTGATCATCAGTCAATATACATCAGTCCAAGTTTACAGATGGAAACATTTAAATAATAATTTTTGCCATTTTACTTTGTAAATAAATATTAGTATTTTATGAATATGATTATTGAATATATTTGTATGTATGTCCTGTCATACAGTGGAACTGGTTCATTTTAGACTGTGTGAATTAAACTGTCAACTTGTTTTTTTCTCTACTTCAGGGTTTTTGCATACTTATTTTGAAGTTCATTAGAGAAATTAATTAGCTGCTTCAATATTTCACTTAGACACAGCCTCAGTAATTTCACCCTTTGCAGGATAATTGCACAAGACTTCAGTAAGAGTTAATAGCAAAAGCAAAGTTGCTGATTCATCTGTAACTAATGCTTGACCTGTGTTAGCCAGCAGAAATATTGCAAACTTAGAGGAGGATAGTATTAATGATGATATTAATGAATTTCCAAATTTGCTTATGGAGGTGGTCTGTATTGTACATTGTACATAGCAATGGAACATAATCAGGCATTTTTTCAAAAGCAACTACTTGACAGTGTTTATTTAAATGGAATTCTAGTTAAATGTATGGGATAATTTTCTTAAAAAAGCCTTTTCAAAACCTTTAGTTATGTTTTCTATTTTTATCTTTCCATGGAAATAAATAGGAGAATCATAGGGTACTTTGGGCTGGTCTCTGGAGAGCACCGACTCCAGCCTCCTGCTCGGAGTGACGCAGTTCCAGTAGGCTGCTCGGGACCGTGTCCAGCCAAGTGCGGAGCATGTCCCGGGATGCGCCTTGCGCAGCCGCGGCCTGGGAGCCTCGCTCGGTACTTGAGCACCCCTCAGGGTGGCCTGAGGGGTGCTTGGTACTTGAGCACCCCTCAAGCGGCCTCCCGACCATTCCGTTTGGCATCCGTCGCATCTCGCCCTCTCCCTGTGCACCTTTCAGAAGTGGCTGGCACCATCTTTCCTGTGCTCTGCCAGGAGGCAGGTGTAGGCAGCAGTAAGGTGGCCCCTGGCTGTTTTCTCCAGACTGAGGAACACCCTTGGCCTCAGCCTCTTCTACGGGAGTGACTGTGTGCTCCTGCCCCTAACCACCTTTGTGGTGTGCCACTAGTCTCACTCTGAGACGATTTGTGCTGGGGAGTAGCAGGTTGGCCTCAATACTCCCTGCAAGGGCCAAAGAGGGGCCCACAAACCATCTGGCCTCCCCCTCGTTAGTACAGCCCAACATGCACCCTGCTGAGTGGTGTTCAGCTTGCCATCCGTGGGGGGCCTTGTGACATCTTTTGCAGAGCTGCTTTGTTTCCAGCCTGCCCTGTTGAATGGGGTGGCTCCATCTCGGGTGCAGGACTTGGCATTTGCTTTTGCTGGACTTCCAGGAGCTCCCGTGAGGCCCATGCTCCAGCCTGTAGGCCTGCAATAGGCCTACGGCAGCAACATGCAGTACCCATACCCTAGTAGGAAATAGATTCCGGACTTCCAGGAGCTCCCGTGAGGCCCGTGCTCCAGCCTGTCCGCTGTAGGCCTGCAATAGGCAGCAACATGCAGTACCCATACCCTAGTAGGAAATAGATTCCTCATTTGCCTTCTTTTTGCATGCTGCAGTTTAAGATATGCACCATGTAAATAGAAATACTATCTGTTACAGTTTTCTAAATACTACTCGCTTCTTAATTTGGTTTCATAAGAGCACAAGGCCGTTATGTGCATGTAATCCCCAAGAGAAAACATTCTTCTACCACAAAGTATTCTCAGCATACATTTGGGAGGTCTTGCCCATTAATTTTTTTTGACATATTTTAGAAAGAGTATGCCCATAAAGAGAAAAAAAAATGTATTTTAAATACAAAAACTGATTATGAGATAACCTTATCTATTAGGAAAGAAGAGGTCCTTTCCAACCTTAAGCATTCTATGGTTCTATGAATAGGCAGCAACATGCTCGGCCCTGCAGTACTCATACCCTAGTAGGAAATAGATTCGTCATTTGCCTTCTTTTTGCATGCTGCAGTTTAAGATATGCACCATGTAAATAGAAATACGTATCTGTTACAGTTTTCTAAATACTACTAGCTTCTTAATTTGGTTTCATAAGAGCACAAGGCCATTATGTGCATGTCATCCCCAAGAGAAAACATTCTTCTACCACAAAGTATTCTCAGCAGACATTTGGGAGGTCTTGCCCATTAATTTTTTTTCACATATTTTAGAAAGAGTATGCCCATAAAGAGAAAAAAAGAAGTATTTTAAATACAAAAACTGGTTATGAGATAACCTTATCTATTAGGAAAGATCATGATAAGCCTCATCTGGGATGTGTTCAGTCAAAGGTAGTTTGCTTAGACCCTGAAATAACTCTTTTACATAGTCTATTTCAATAGAAAATTGACTGAGGAACTTATATTTAAATTTATTAGCCCAGGTGTCATTAACATGTTATTTATGACTTGCATCATTGTAGATGTAACCATAGTACTCTCTAAAAACATTTCTGCAGAGTACCTGGTCTGGAACATTTGCCAAAATGGAAAAAGAAAGACAGCTGATTGTGCAAATTGCATTCATATATTAACTTTGAAGTTATCTAGGATTTACTTAAAATATCAGTATAAGTTAATAAGAAAATATATTTTAGTAAATTAGTATCATTTTCTTTTAAAATCAGCCCTTTATATACCTCATGTGTATTTTTAGTTTGCTACTGTTGTGATTTGCATTCACTCTCTCTAATATTAAAATGAGTGGGCACTTTATCAACTACCATATTATAATTCTAGTTAGTAGCACATTTAGAATACAACTCCCTTCCCATCTCCAATATAATTTTTACTTTAGCTTTAAAACATTTGTCAGCTGGTGCGAGCTGGATTTATTAGAGCGCAGTAGTTTTAGTGCGCGTTGGCTGGGGGTTTGCTATGACATCACTGCAGTCTATATACAGAATGTGATTTCAGTTGGTTCCAGCGTTAAATATTTTCATAATTATGCTAGTTTTGGCAGTTCCCTTGGAACTTTTTCACATCTCTTTAATGAACATGTTTTACTTCTGGACTTATGAGACAGCCACATGTTTGAGAAATTAATAGCCTGCACTTAAAGTTAACATTAAGCAGAATTGTGCAGATACAGAAAGCTTGTGGTTGTAAATCTAAATAGGAACGCAGTTCCTATAAGGTCATGGCCACTGCTGTCATCTTATGGTAGTTTACGAAAGTAATGTTTGTTTTATAAAATATCAAAAGCTGTTGTGAAAAACAGTGCGTGCTCATGTTCATACAAACCATAAATGTTTAGAGTATAAGCATTTTGATACTTGCATAGTGTAAGGAAATTAATGCATTTTATCCCAAATTAAACAAATTAAACTTTTTCAAATGTTTTGTCAGGTTGAATTCTTCTTAAACATAAGTATACATTATTACTTCATTTAGATTAACTCATATATGTATATTTCTGAGATAAAATTTTGTGTTGCATTTTGGCATCATCTTGGAACATTCACATCTTTATCCTAATTACTTTTAGGTCCAGTGTGTTCTAAGTGGTCTCAACCATTTTCCATCACAACAGCTAGCTCAAAGAAATATAAACATTTTATTGTATTGAATTTATTTATATGCCATAATTTAAGATTTTTCTTTTAAAATTAGCATGATAGAATAGTCCCCTAGGTTTTTTTTTTTTTAAAAAAAAAGTGCATGTGGAAGTGGTAAATAATTCAATCAGCCTTTTTTTCATCTTTAATTATCTGTAATATACTGTATGATGAATGTGCAGCATAGGCTTGTATAAACTTATGAAAACACATACTGGTGTCAGTGTATAGCTAAAAAAAAGTTACACCCAAAAAGAGAACAGTTATTTTCCCCCTCATGACTAGTTTTTGTAGCCAACCTAAGTATTAGCAGGCAAGCATTAAGTGATCATATCAGATCAGCAAGTAGTCCTGGTTCAGCATGCTGTACAGGCGGTACGTAAGCGCAGTGAAGAAGGAAATGCACTAACTGAGCTGTGTGGTCACACTGGCATCTCAGCTTTTGCAAGGTCAAAACAGAAACAGTGGTATGGTGACTCATCTGAAAAAAAAAATCATGCTACATATGAGCTAGGTTCAATGAAAAGGGTGAGTTAAAAGTTATTACAAAAATTAGATCCTTGGTAAAGTAAATTTTTCTCAGCAAGATGAAGATGTGAAGGAGGGGTGAGTATTTCTGATCGTAAGATATTTATGATGATGAAGAGTCTTCAGGATGCTGATGCTTAAAGCTAAAAAGGAATAGGTAGCTGTCATTATTGCTGAGGTGATCTGTGGGTAGGACAGCGATGTTGTACTAAGGATATTGTGCAGCAGATGGAAGTTCTGGGAGAGTTCTCCTAAGATGTGCATTTCTCAATCAAAAGCATCAAAAGATTGTCCAAGATTGCCTTCTACGATGGGATGTCTGGCTGGCTGGATGATGGGAGAGCTGTGGCTGTTGTCTACTTTGACCTCAGTAAGGCTTTGGACACTGTCTGCCGTAACATCCTCATGGGGAAGCTCAGGAAGTGCGGGTTAGATGCGTGGGCAGCGAGGTGGGTTGAGAACTGGCTGGATGGCAGAGCTCTGAGGGCCCTGATTAATGAGGCCGAGTCTGGTTGGAGTCCCATGGCCAGTGCTGTCCCAGAGGGACGCTTGATTGACACGTTGATGAACTTGTTCATCAGTGACTTGGACGAGGAAGTTTGTGGACAATACCAAACAGGGAGGAGTGGCCGAAACTCCCAAGGTCTGTGCTGCTGTTCAGAGGGACCTAGAGAGATTGGAGAGTTGGGCAGAGAGGAGCCTTATGAGGTTCAGCAAGTACAAGAGGAGGATCCTGCACCTGAGGAGGAATAACCCCAGGCACCAGTACAGATTAGGGGCTGACCTGCCAGAAAGCACCTCTGCAGAGAGGGATTTGGGAGTCCTGGTTGACAACAAGTCAACCATGAGGCAGCAATGTGCCCTCGTGGGCAGGAAGGCCCATGGGATCCTGGCCTGCATGAGGAGGAGCGTTGCCAGCAGGTCAAGGGAGGGGATCCTGCCCCTCTGCTCAGCCCTGGTGAGGCCGCACCTGGAGTATTGGGTGCAGTTCTGGGATCCCCAGTACAAGAGGGACATGGAGCTTCCAGTCCAGTGGAGAGCCACGAAGATGATTAAGGGACTGGTACATCTATCTTATGAGGAAAGACTAAGCGAGCTGGACCTGTTTAACCTGGAGAAGAGAAGATTGAGAGGTGATCCTATCCATATGTACAAATACCTGAGGGGAGAATGTAGGAGGATGGGGCCAAATCCTATGCCCCATGCTCTAGGTGTCCCTGCTTGAGCAGGAGGGTTGGACTAGATGATTTCTAGAGGTCCCTTCCAACCCCAACCGTTCTGTGATTTTGTGAAGATAAGAAATAAGTGGAATTTTCCAGGATTTGATCCTGAGCACAGTTCTCTAAGAAATGTAGTTTGTTGCCATTCCATAATCATGACTGGAAAACTTCAAATCTCTTCCTTTAATAACCTTCCTTTAGAAGCTATCTTCTACCCTCCTAATGTAAGAAAGTGTCTATGTTCTGTATTTTCTCCACGTAAGTTCTCTTTTGTATGTATTTTTCTTTCAGTTTAACCTTATGTTGCTGTTCATCTCTGCTTTTCTTTCTGAAATATTATTTCCCCTTTATCGGAGAATTTCGTTCCACATTCTGCTTTTTAAGTATGGAGTAGAATGTAAGAAACCCATCTCTTGAGTTGTTTTTGAAGTTGTAGCTTTGTATTTAAAGTATGCTGTTACCTGTTACTTTTTTGTTACTTTTGTTACTTTTAATTTTGTTTAACATGGAAAAGCAAGTAATGTGAAGTTAGTATCTATTTCATAATTTCTCTGAGGCCATTCAAAAAAGTGAAAAGCTCTTCCAGGAAACACATGATGCATCCTGTACAAAATAAAAATACACTCAAAGATGTCTGATTTTTAGTGGCTAGAAGATTTAAGAATATCGTAGCTTAATTTTAAGATATCCTGCATATGTCTGTGGTCCATTCTTTTTTTGAGCTGTTCCTGCGATCCTAGCAGCACCCAGAGAATATTTGCTGTTTTTCTGAAGAGATAACAAACAAAAACCTGTAAGAGGCTGCATCTCCTCAAGAGATACTTTGGCTTTCGTCAAAAGAGGAAAATTTTGTTTCCTTCCCAACCTGTTCTCCTAATGCACTTACAAGAATATTTATGTTCCTTTTCTTGGGTTTCTGGCACTGCAGGGTTGTAATTAAGCTGTCATTTCTGGAATGCAGTGGGAACCTCTGCATGCTAGTGGAATATTTAAAACTCAAATTCACCTAATCAAGCTTCTTCTGTGTGTGTGTGTGTGTGTGTGTGTGTATGTGAACTTCATATTGGAAGCTTTTTTATCGTATTCTCTTATTACAAGCCGTGCGTCCAAAGCTCAAGAGGAAGAGTTATCCTCCATTCGTTTATTTCTTCTGGTGCCATGTTTGCTGTTTTAGAAGCCTGAGAAAATATTTTGCCTTGTTGAGGCAGTTTTGGCTATCTATATTAGAATGGACATGACATCTTGGAGTTGTTTGAGATTGCTTCACAAGCAGGCACATAAACTGACAGAAATGAGCAGTTTCTCATATTGCGCAGTTTGTGAGACTTTTGCTTTGTCTTAAGGAATATTTTGGCAATGATGCAGCTAGCTTGTTCTCCCTATGTATTTTTTTCTTCTTTGGTCGACTTATTTGCTTTCTTTTCCATAATCAGGAAGACCACGAAAGTTGTGGTTCCAGTTCTACGAACCGCAGTACCACGGAGAGCATGAAGTTGGCAGTGAAACCACGCCGAGTCCAACAGTCTGCTCCTCCCGACCCCGATTTACCTCCAGGTAAACCATAAATTTAAAAGACGGGTTGTGTTTGAGTGATGATAGAAAATGCTGGTTTTATTCTGGTGACCAGAATTTTTAAGCTAGGCTTTTATGTCTCCATTTAAATGGATTGACAGTTTAAAAAGTCTGCCCACCAGCAAGTCACACAAGTCAGTGGAATACCTGAATGTTTTAAAACGGGACAAAAAAAGGGAGGTCAATGCAAGAACCATGTTGGAGAAGCAACGTGTTAGATTTTATCCTTTCCTGCCCTGCTTCTGTCAGATCACTTTGTTTTCTGCTGCTCACAACTATTCTAAGGTTCTTTTTCTTCTCCATGATACCTCTTTGTTTTCAGATTATTAGAATGGTTAGAGAAGCAGGATTGTCTTGCTGTGGGAGCAGTAATTCTGCTTGTTCTGTGTCTTCTATCTACTGCTAGAGGTATTTACCTTTTTATACCCTGACACAGCATTTGGTTTGGTTGAACCTGGAGATGTTTATGTGGTTCACGAGTGCCTAAAGAGCTATTTAGGTTTAAAGAGTGGGTTCTTCATTTTAGTCTCTGAGTTTGCATAGAAATTTGATGTATGAGGTGTCATTTTATTCAAAAATTTGAAATTTGAGGGAGTGAATATGTTTTCTTGGGGTATGTAACTTTAGATGGGTTTAAGACATGAAAGGTTTTCGTTAGGTTTTTCTTCTGTATTTTGTTAACTGACAGCTCAAGTTTATATTTAACTTTAATTGAAAGAGACTATTGAAGTAAGATGTGTGGAATATTATGTACTGTGTTACGTTGTTTTGTAATGTTGAGTCTTTGCTGTTGTCATTTGTCAGATAGAAGTGTCTTTTAGCTCTGCTTTGTTCTCAGAAATGGGCAATGGAGGTAGGCAAGGCTCAGCTCAAAAATCTTCTAGTTTGCATAAGAGCTTAGCACTGTTCAACTTACAGGAGATGCCACCAGTCTGGTGATATCACTTCTCTTGAATCAGGTAGATCACACTGTGAACTACATTGCTACAATACAGTTTGGCCTTTGGAGCTGAAGATGCACTCATAATTCTTGCTGCCCAACACAGCCTGAGGGCTCCTGGTGCGTTTGGGAATATCGCGCATGGGAATATTGGGTTGTAGCTCAGGACAGGATTCCCCCTACACCCTTTCTGGTGATGTTGATTTGATGTATAATATTTGAACTTTCAAAGCAAGGATTTTCAGTGGCATTTTTAAACATTGCTGGGATAAGAGCCAACCCCCACCTGTTTTCCTCTGCTTGTATTTTAAATCAGAAGAAAAGCCTTCTATACTACAGGTGAGCTGGCTGATGCTTTTCTTTAGTTTTGCTTTTAGCTTTAGTTTTAACTTTAGTTTTGAATGCTAAAAATTACAACTTGAATTTGTAATGTTTGCAGAGACTGGTCTTCATTCATAAGTGTATGATTATAGTATACTGAAGCTGATTTTAACTAGAAAGATGGTACTTCTGGTACTTGTAACAGTATACTGTGCCACAAATTTGGAAATGTCTTGACAGAAGAAGGTGGCTGCCTGTCTTGTCTGGGTAATAAGATTCTGGTTCCTCGTTTTATGTATTCAAGCAAAAAAACACCGCTGAAGGCTAATATTTTGGATTTTAGATTAGTCTATTGTGTAACTAAATTTCTGAATAATGCTGGAGGTTATCAGTACATCCTGATTTTTACTTTTTGTCTTTGCTGCTGTGATGCTGGATTTTTAAATGTTACATTTTCCTCCTGTGAAAAACAAAGTTAGACTGACTTCAAAAGACCCTTGAAAGCAAAGTACTGATAAATCTATGGAGGGACAGATTCAGTTTTATTGATGAAATTCCTGGTTGTGATCTTATCATTGCTGGTTATATAATCTGCCTATTTCTGCTGTAAGAGAAACAGCTAAATGCTTTGGACCAATTTCTGTTTACAGACAGGCCAATTTACACCACTCAGGTCATGAAATAAGGTTTCTTGTGATCTTTAACCATACTTAAAGAAATAGAAGTAAGAATTATGGCACTTAAATAATTGAAATAATGCATCAGATATTATAAATTAATCTAATCTGTAAATATGTTGCAGTTTTAACAGGATTAGCAGAGAAAAAGGTATATTCAGTTTAGGTTAGAAATATAACAGTCATAAACTGTCAAAATTATGACTATCACTGTGTTTTTGGATTCCTCCTTTATATAAACAAACCTCTAAAACATTTTCCAGGTTTTGTTTTAGTAGAGATACAAGCCTACCAAGACCGTAGGTTGAGTTCAAATAGTATTTATTCTGTTAGAGGTAGACTTACTCAGAGGGCTCCAAAATAGCATAAAGTGAAAGGAGTTATGATAAGAAATGCATTATATTTTGTACGCTTAAGATATTTAATATTATTTTTTAAATCTACCAAAGTACCTAATCGAAGTTCTTACTATAAATGAGTTTTAAGGTAAATTTAAGAGAATTAACCTCTAATCTTGTGGATTTATCTGTCTAATCTTGTGGATTTAACATTTTTAACTGTCTCCTTTCAGAACAGTTACAAAACTAGACCATCATATGTAGCAGGTGTATTTTTAGATAGAATATGTGAGTGATGTTATAAATTCTCATACACAGAAATTTAAGACTTTTCCAGCACAAATTAGTTGCATAGTTACGTTTGGTATACAGAAAAGACATGAATGTGGGTAGTATTTAATTTCTTTACCATATTGTTAAAATATGAGTGTTTACTGCCTACTGGGAATTCAGGCAAGTTCAGTTTTCCAATCACATTACGTTTGAACCGATTTAAATAGATTTCTTCCCAGCAGGGTTCTGTGCAGGTGCTCCCTATTTTGGTTGCTGACAGAAACTGGTTTTGTTGTGTTTCACAGGGGTCTTGTTGAGCACGATGGGGTTATATTAGGGTTTAGATGGAAAGAATACTAGGAAGACTGTTTTTTTTTATAAGTGAGGTAAGAAGGAATATGGGCATCATGTATGCATGCTTGAACAGTATGCTGATAGATGCAGTATTCATCTTTTCATGCTTGCACGTAAATGCCTTTCAATTGAAAAGTTACTGTTACTAGAATGCCTACTCTTCAGTAAACTGAAGTCTTGTATTTTAAAATTTGATGGTTAATTTTAGCAGTAATTCTGCTTGTTCATAGAATCATAGAATCATAGAATCATAGAATTTGGCTCTTCTAATTGCTCTGCATTTCCAGGTGGCCAATTGACTTAATTGCACTGAATGCTCTTTAATGCATTTTTAAGTCTTGTGATATTGGATATATAAAGGGCGATGACATTTGGTTTGTTGTTGAGATAAAGTAAAATATAACTTTGAAGTAGTTACTTTAGTAATAAATGAGTTTGATAACGTGTCCTCATAATAACTACAAATAATTGTGTTCATTTTAGGCTACGTTCAGAGTTTGATTAGGCGTGTTGTAAACAATGTCAACATTGTGATCAACAATCTCATACTGAAATATGTGGAGGATGATATTGTTCTCTCAGTCAATATCACATCTGCAGAATGCTACACTGTCGATGAGCTTTGGGACCGAGCCTTTATGGATATATCTGGTGAGTAGATTGTTTTTTTATTATAGCTATCACAGTGGTGGCAATCTTACATTCATCTAGAATTGTTTAGCCTAATAAAGAATTGTTTAGAATTGTCTAAACTGAATTGCCTAGAATTGTTTAGCCTAATAAAATGGCTTTTTATGTAGGAGGTAGAATTTGTGTTTTTGTGAATGAGCAGTAGGTTCTTAAGGCTAAGCCTTTGACATGTACTTAATTGTTCATGAAGTATAAGCAAACTAGGGAGCAATCGGTTAATGCTTGCCTACCTCTGCCGCTGGGATCTTGGCACTATTGTGCACCTCTTAATCTTCACTCTTGCACCCTAAAATGGCAAGTCTCGAGTAGTTGGATTCTCTGTAGTAAACCCTGCATTTGGGTGATTGAGGCATGGGCAGCTTATGAAGTATCGGGGGGAAAAAGGGGGCCTATTCTGCTCGCTACTCCACTACTTTGTAAATGGGGTAGGGAGCTTAACAGCCTAAATTATCAGAAGTTAAAAACAGCTATTTTTCAGAGTTGTTGTTCAGTTTTGACAGAGTGAAAACTGGATGTGCCTTTTGAATCACAGATTTGGGGATCTTTATATGGAATTATTTTGAACATCTATTTTTCCCTGCCATTCTTTCTTTTCTTGCTCAGTTATCATTACTCTTTGAGATAAATTTGCATTTAAGCGCTAAAAAGTAAATAACTTTCAAATAAGATTACATTATCTGGTGGACGTGTTTTGTACTAATATTTTCTTTTCTTTTTTTTAATGGGTGTTGTAATTAGAATAAGAAATAAGAGGGCATAAGTGTAACATCACTTACAGAATATATTTGCTGAAATGTTAGTTACCTTAGTGAGTGTTTTTCTGATTTAAATACAAAATAGTTGCATGCTTGTCACTTTTTTTTTTTCTTCAAATAAGAACATGTACACCTAACTTTGTTCATATACAGGTCATAAAAAATATAACATATGTACTGTTTTCTTTTTAAAGCTACTGATCTGGTACTGAGAAAGGTGATCAACTTTTCTGACTGCACTGTATGTCTTGATAAGAGAAATGCTAGTGGAAAAATTGAATTTTATCAGGAACCTTTGCTGTACAAATGTTCCTTTCGGACTCGTCTGCATTTTACTTACGACAACCTTAACTCCAAAATGCCATCTATTATTAAAGTAGGTATCCAAATTATAATTTTGGTGGGGAATATTCGTGTGTGAACAAATTGAGGTTTTTTTAAAATTATACTTTGAAATTTCTATTAAAATGGAAAAAAAATTCTTGATAGACAGTTTTTCTGTGCCTGTTTTATTTATGTGATACTATTAGCAATAGCATGCAAGTAAGGAAATCATGAGCTCTAGTCTCTTCAATTTTTCATTAAGTTTTAAAATGGAAATGTAGTAGCTGTAAGGTAAAAAAGATGTCCGTGAAACATCTGTTGAGGAGAAATACTTTGTTTTAGTATGCCAGGAATAAGATACAAAGCATTTTTTACTTACATTATCGTTGTGGAATATAGTCCAAATCACAAGAATGTCCTGGCACTATTTAGTGAACTACCTAAAAGAGAATTAGCAGGACAAGCCTGGTTACGAATGGGCAGAGGTCCAATATCACACATAATCATCTGGCACTAAACGACATATTTAAATTCTGAATAGCTAAATGTTTAAATGTTAGAGAGACTCAACTACCTGTTATCCTCATTTTTTTTCTGTTCAGACCAGTCATAAATGTGAAGTTTGGTGCTGCTGCTCTCCCACCTGCCTTATCTAATGCTAGTAATGGCAGAAAAGAGTAAGCGCTTGTAATGCGTACGTGATTTCTAGCTAATTGAGAAGTGATGCAAGTTGAGATAAACACTTTATCCCAGACTTTTTCTAAGTTTTACTAAAACTCAGTCTTCTGATGAATATACTGTAAACCAGTCTGTTTTGAGATAAATTTTGCATATGAATTTCTCGGGACTATCTTGTGCAAGTGTCCCCCTTTCATTTAGAAAGCATCACTTGACTGATTCGTGAAATGGGCAAGGAAACCTGAGATCTTGGAAATTTAGTAGATTAAAGACTAATTAGCAATCATGTCCAGTTTTAAAATCATTTCCTCTGTGTTGCACAGCCGTAGGCCTTTAATTGCTTGCCAGAAAGCTTTGGGCTAGTATGGTGATTTTTTTTTTTTTAATAGGGCAGTGGCCACATAAATGCTTATCTAGAGTAGAATTCTTGCTAAATGCTGGACACTTGAGTACAAACATCTGTGTTATATAAACATAGTGTGTTATATTAGGTTCAAATCAGAACTGTATTTTTACAGAAGGAGTATTATTTCATATGATTATCTCAAATTAATAAGTATGCAAATGTGAAAGAATCGCTTTCTCTTTTTTTTGTTTTTAAAGTAACTGATAACAATTTTGAAAGTTTGTTTTCTTTGGGTTTTATAAACAGGAATTCCTATACTCAATGGCATAGGACCATAGGCCTTAAAATGTTAAAGTCTAAGTTAAATGAACTCCAGTGATAGTGAGGAATCGCCATGTAACTGTCTGCAGCTTACTGCTTGAAGTCCTTATCATCTGTGGTGACAAGACTACTGCAGGGAGACAATAAGCTTGTATGTTAAAAAGCCCAATTATTATTTTTTAAGTTCAAACTTGCCAAGTAGTCCTGTAAAATTTGGAAAAGTAATTTGTATGTAGTTTAAGTTGAGTGTGCCAATTTTTAGCACAGAGTAAAAGTTCATGGCTAAATAATTCAAAATCTCTGGCAGCAGACTATATAATGGAAATGTTGACAGTCTTCCACATTATGTAAAATGGTACTGCTGTTATAAAAAGATGGTTAGTATTATTAAACGTGTTTTTTAATTATGATACTGGACTGTCATAAACAAGAGTGCACATACTGGAGTGCACTAAGGCAATAGTAGTTTAATTATACTGGTTTGAAACCTTTATCTAGTTTTTGTTCATCTTTTTGTTTTTAATACGCTTTTGTTCAAAAATATTTTTTGTCTTTTCTTCCTGCCTATCTTATACTTAGTTTACTTGCTTACTTTTGCTTTGTCTTGAATCCTTAAAATATATTGTTTAATGAAGATGTTTGTAAAGATGCTCGTGCCTTTTTTTTTTTTTTCCTATCGACATACTGAGCTGATTGAGATCACTAAATGTCCGAAAAGAAATAAATAGTGTTCTGCTGGATTTAGTGTGCTGAGTCACCTTATAGATGGGCAGATGAATTCCAGTGGCAGTGTAAGAGCAGGGCTAGATCTTCATGATGGCAATGGGGGCACTAGCACACATGGAAGATGTCCAAGAGTGTGACTTAACTTATATTAAGCCACTCCAGATCTCTGTCCCCCTGGCTTGTTCCTCATTCTCGCTCAACCTGGCAGTGAGATAGAATCAAAATAAAGGGACTCAAATAGCAAAGTGAATACGTTTTAGCTTTCTTTGGGATTTTTACAGCCTAGAGTGCAGAGACGTTTGTGAAGTTCTTTATAACGAAAGTAAAAAACTTTAATTGGATGCACTTATGTGACTGTTTGGCTGTTTTAAAGATTTCTCCAGCAATAATTAGAATATCTATGTGCAGGTAAAATATTTTCTTATGACTTTTCAACCTGAAGATTTCTTCTCTATCAAGCCAAAGAGTATATGTTTCTGGAGATTGTTTACAGCCCTTTGTGTCACATACTTGTGCCAGCTTTTGTATTCAGAAATTAGAATTGCTGAACCTAATGTGTATGTCATTGTGCAGTTTAAAAGTTGGCTTTAATGAGGACAATGCTTTATTATTTGCCTCTGTTTTCTTTGATGTTATAGATCCATACATTAGTTGAAAGTTTGAAACTTTCAATCTCCGATCAGCAGCTTCCTATGTTTATACGAATAATGCAGCTTGGGATTGCTCTTTATTATGGAGAAATTGGCAACTTCAAAGATGTGGAAAGCGAAGATTTGGTTTGTCACACAAAAGATATGATGGGAAACATAACAGGTAAATATAGTACTCTGACTTTTTTTTTTTTATAAAAACCCTTAAAATTCCTTGCTTTTTACAAATATAAATTGCCAGAGCTAAGTACTGCAGTGTGTGTGCCTTGGCAGTCAGTGATTTTGTGGAGACTGTTCATTGCACTAGGTAAATGCACATCTCTCTCTCTCACATCTTTTTTTACTGTTCTGAAAACAACTGCTCTTTGTTGTGCTATTCTGATGGTTTTCAATAAATTAAGATTAAATATTCTCTCTGTGGAACATGATCTCTTCCATGTGATAGCGCATGGTCAGTCATTTTGACACAGTCTTTTGGAGAGCATCACATATTCTTTTTGTATTTGTGTGATGGCTTTAGCTGCTACCTCCCAACTATTGCTAAGAGTGAGACAACTACTCCTGTGGACCTTGATATGTTTCTAGCTGTGAACCTTTTACTACATCCTCAATTTCATGTTGACATACTAGGGCCTACCAGTTTTGATCCGCTTTTTTTTTTCTCTCGTCATGTATTTCAGTATTGAGACTTTATCAGATGAATATTGTTCCCAGTTCACAGAGTCATAAGAAAGATAGAGAGATGCTTGGTACATATTAAAACCTAAGGGAAATAAAATTTTGGAGTAGATATTAGATCTTACATATTTTTCTGAATTTTCACTTAGATCTAAAATATTAATTGAACATTCAAGATTTGGGCAATCAGATTGATTTTCAATCACGCATACTTTTTTTTTTTTTTTTAAGTAATTTAAACAGAAAGGAAGGTTCTTTGGAAGGTCCAAAAATTAGTCTGGAGTTTTTGCAATATATTTTGCACTAAAAAAATATAAAGAAAAATAAAGAGGGAGGACAGGATCATTATGAATTATGAATTTTCATGCTTTTTTAATGAATGTTCGGAGGGAGAGTTTTATTTAGAGGTGTCCATGTCAATTCTATCTCCTCAAGACATTAATTTGGCATATCTTTCTAAAAGTGAATTTGGGCCTAGGGGAGAAGGAGATATTTACCACATGGTCAGGAGTATTCCATGATGATTTCTTGAAAAATCTTGGAATTATATATGAAAGTGATGTGCAAGATTAAGCTACCTTTTAGCATTACAGCAGTTTAAGGCATTCAGTATAAAATAATCAAGTAATTCATTCTGTTCTGTTTAAGACATCTATAATGTTAATGTAAACGGCTTAAAATATAAAGATGGTAAGATTTCTTTTTTTTTTTTTTTTTGATGATATGTTGATAATCTTCTCTGGATTTAGACAAATAATACATTTTTGGGAAGATGAGACCAGGAGGAGTAGATTTTTATTTTTATTTTTATTTTTTCTAAAAATATAGCCTTCAGTGTTGGCTGGAACATAATCTTTTCACTCTCATGCCAGATACAAAATTCTGTCATGCCACTGCAATGTAGAACTGGGCAAATAAATAAGGCTACTCTAAATAGCACTCCAATATTTTCTCTGAAGCTGAAATAGCTTTCTACCCTGGTAACTATTTGCCTTATAAGAAATGTGGAGTTTGTTGCACAAGACATGATTTGAAGTACTTAACTAGTATTCTAAAAATATTAATTTAGTTTTCTTTCAAAAATTTAAAAAGTATACTGTTTTTTAGAAAAATCATTAATATACATTTAAAAAAAAAAAGCATCTAAGAAATATTTTAATTGTGATATTGATGGGAGAAA